ATCGCGACGAGTTATGAACATGACGAGTATGGTGCAACAACAGAAGAGATAGATATGAAGGTAGCCATGACAGAAAAACGAGCCAGAAAACTCGAAAACTTCTACGAAAAAGAGGGAATTATGGGTTATAGAGTCGTGAATCCTGCAGCGAAGAAGATGATACTCACATTCTCACTTACAGCATATACGGCTGAGGCATGGGTAAGAGAAAATCCTGAATGGGGAGTGATAGTAATAACATGTCTCAAGCCGCTCGATGCTCGTATGAGAGATGTGATTGTCGGACTTGAAAAAGTAGTTTTTGTCGAATCCAACTATGCAGGACAACTCGAAGACTATGTCACCAAGGAATTCGGGCTCAAGTTCGTCCCGACTCTTGAGATAGGACATATCCGCAAGTATGATCTCATGCCATTCTTCTACGAAGATTTTGATAACTTAAAGTAGTATGATATTTAGTATTACAGAAAGTAAATTCTCTATAGAAAATTTTGATTTTAAAAGACTTTACTTTCATTCACCAATCTCATTTATTGAAGTAATTGAAAAATATGGCAGTAAAATGCTATGATTACATGACGTTTTAAGTCTTAAAAGAAAATACCCAGATATTATAGAACTTGATGCCTGGAATTTACTTATTGATTTTTTTTCTGAGTTCCAAGATAGTGAATGTAAGATGAATGATGAAGTATTGAATCTGACTATTGATAAAAATTCAGATCTATCTTTATATCTAGGAATTCAGCCACTACACTCAGAAAAAAGATGTTGTTTATTCTCAGATAATATAGTATTTATAGACCCAAGACCAGACTGGACTACATTCTGATTTGGAATTATAGTTTCAGATGAATTAAAAAAGAGTCCTATAAGCTCTAAAAATACTCCAATTGCTTTTTCCAAAATCGAAATCATTAATCAATAAATTATGCGCTCTTGACTCACTAACATCCAATGGTGTCCCGGTTGTGGGGATTTCCTCATCATCATGGCAATCAAAAACGCCTTCAAAGAACTCTGAATCCCTTCGCATAAGCGAGTGGTAGTTTCGGGTGTCGGTTGTTCGGGCAAGGCCTCTCAGTATATCGATGGATATGCAGCTGAGACACTTCACGGTCGTACACTTCCATTTGCAACAGGAGTCAAGATGGTCGATCCGTCACTCACGGTTGTTGCCGTTGGTGGTGATGGTGATGGCTACGGTATCGGTATGGGGCATTTTATCCATGCATGTCGCCGTGATCTCGATATCACGTATATCGTGTTCAACAACGAGAACTACGCACTCACGACAGGTCAGTCATCTCCAACGACTCCGATAGGGGCTGTGACCAAGACTGCTCCAGAAGGTAATCTCATCAAGCCTCTTGATCCAGTTGCACTCGCAGAACATGCGGGATGTGGCTTCACCAAGACTGCTCACTCCAAGAACTTCCAAGAACTCAAGGAGATTATTAAGGCAGCAATTCAGCACAAGGGATTCTCACATATCGATGTAGAACAAGATTGTCCGAGCTTCCGTAGATGGGCAATGTAAATATGCTACTTCTCCTCCCAACTGATACATGCTACGGTCTTGCAGGTGAATTCACTGAGCAAGATTACAATGAGATATACCGACTGAAGGGTCGGGATTTTACGAAGCTTCTTGCTGTTCTTGTTGAGGATTTTGATGATATGCAAAAGTATATCGAGATAA